TTGAACTCTAACTCCGCCGAGCCGAGCAGGGGGCGATGACGACGACGACGACGAGGCCGCGTCAACGATAAGGGTTGATTTGGCCTCACCTCCCCCGCCCCGTGCGTGCCCCCCGACCCCGAGGCAGCCCGACAATGCGTCCTCATCTGCCTCGACGTGCAACACGCACACACACTCTCATGTGTATGAGCGCGTCTCGCGGGAGGGGTTCTACTGCCGTTGGAGCCGGAGCTGGAGCGCGTCGTCGTCCAGAGAAGGGCGACCCCGCGGGACCATAGCCGGGACCAGCAGAGCAGCCCCCCCGCAGCAACTCCATCGCAACTCCAGGAAATCAAATGTGACAAATAGTAGTGTAAAACATGCAGACGTTTTACGTCATCTTGTAAAACTGTCTCAGAGTTGGCCTCTACTGGAGCTGGGCGCCCCGCAAGGGGCACTTCACTACAAAAAAACTATCAGTTTACACCTATCTAAAAATAGAAAAAATCTTGAGAATGCCAGATAATTACAAAACTTTGAGGAATTTCTTAAGAAGAACATAAAAATTGGTGTACGCTTCAATTTATAGGAAAAGCCCCCCCCTGCTGCCCCTTCTTTTCATTATTACGCTATGTTTGCGTGCTCGTTGTCAGAGCACACGGACGACCATGCGGGACTATGGCGCACTGGTGGAACAGGCGAGCCCCTTCGCCCGCGCGTCGCGCTCGCGCCGCGTAACGAGAGGAATGAAGAACCGCGCGCCCCGTGATGGCGTCCGATTTTTCCCCGTCGTCCACGTGTCTGCCCGCGCCCTTGGCGCAGCCCTTGGCCCACCCCGCAAACCCCGAGCCTCAGCAGCCACGTCTGATACGTATTAATGACGCGATTGTTAGACCGGGGGGGGGGGGGGGGGACGTCCGGGGTGATTACGTTACGTTACGGCAGCTCTGCGGTCCTATATAGTGATGGATTTTTGTCATGAGAGTCCCCCCCTCTCTCGTCTTCCCCGCCACCGGGTAGGCTATATGATCTCCTGATGACACGCCGGCAAGATGGGCGGCATACGTATTTCGCGTTCTCTGCCGCGGCGGTGGCGGCGGCGGCGTATTTTCGTTTCTCGTCGTTTTCTTTTTCTGTTTGTCTGCCTTTA